TTACAGCTTTCATTCAGTTTTACAAAAAAATATAATATTTTATATATCCATAAATATAATACAGACACCAAAACATACACCTATAGTTCTGCTTCAGTAATGTCCTCATCAGGGCAACAATAGTATTCCACAAAACAGATTTGTCCATCTTCATTCCTAATCATATACTGCAGTGAAAGAAATCCTTGAGCATCTGTTCGAATGGACACTTTACAAGATAAAGCCAGTGCTTTCGCAGATGGTTTAAGCAAAGAAATCTTGTACCTGCAAGGGAAAAAAAGTCATCTGAAAAAAATACACTGTGCAGAGAGGACCTGAAACGTTACTCCCAATTAAAGCCACAGAATAACTAAAAAGCAATTAGCAGTGTGCTAATTTGATCATTTCCTGGGAACAATATTGGACAGACATTGTTATCGCTTAGCTTTTGATCACAGACGCAGCTTTTATCAGAAGTCATTCCCCGCCCGCCCCTCCATCCCCCCATACTGGTGAAATAAATGTCACGGTAATGCAAAAACAGTTTTTTAAACTTTCCAGCAAGAATGCATGCCCTGCCACTGAGGGCACTGATCACAGACTTCCTAACCTGTTTGTCTGCGTTTGGTTACAGTGGAAAGCTTCCATCAAATCAGAGTCCCGAGGGTAGTCCAGATGTGCACTCCCTGCATTTCCAAAAGTGGATAACCTGGAAGACAAGAGGCACCATTTCGAAATACCTGATCACAGCTCTCTAAAAACGTGTCAGAATCAGTCACCTTGCATATAGTGTTTTCACAAAATACTATAGGGATTTTTTCGCTTTATTTAATTAAAAATGCTAAACTGTCTGTATCAGTGTCACATTTACCAGGTTGTCAATATATTTATGTTAATTAGATTACATATGGTGATTTGCCACACTCATTACCATTCTTCTTGAAATAAAGCAGTATTCTAAAATAGCTCCCCCTGTCTTCACCCTGAAAACTTCCAGTCCTTACCAACGGAGGCCAAGCATGAACACGTGAATTGAAAACACAGTTTCCAGTACCTGAAGTAGGGTTTATCTGGAGACATGGTAACCTGCAGAACTTCACTGGTCATATCCAGTTCAGCAAATGCTTCTCGTAGCCCCTCCGACTGCAGGATAATTTTATTAACAACCTTTGTACTGCAGAAATCAAAGTCTAACAACTCCTCAGGTTCTTGAGTGTTAATTTTGCACACTGTCACTACTCCTCCTTCTTCCAAAAACAGCATCAAAGGATAACCATAACCACAATAACACATCCTAAGGGCTGTTGATGTTCCTGAAAAAGAGAATGAAATACACATTATTCAGAGAGCTAGCTACTGCATCTGTTCCCTTTAGAAAATTCACATTTTATTGACGTACGGGGCACAGATCAATTTGATTTAGCATGTTTGGTCCAGCCTCCAATATACTAATGTAGCATGCTTAGTGCGGTCTCCTAGACAGCCTATGAAGTGTTAATGGTTATGCAGCAAAATGAAATTATTTGCATGTAGACACCAGTTCAAATCCAACTCGTGTCACGTACCAAACAGGGAACACTATTGTGACAATGAAGCTGGACATGCTACAAATATTTCAGTGGAACAGGAAAATCATCCATAGTCCTAAGGCTCTCTCTAGCTCACATCGTATTTCTTTACTACTCTTGTTACTTGTGCAATCCAAACTGAAATTAACACAGCTTAGCTTGCATTACAGTCTCATCCTCCTTTTGCTAGGTAATCATAATCCGAATGTTTGGTTTCTCAAAATCAGACTGCTGTTCAATACAGTTGATTTAGGTCTTTAGGTCAGAGTGACAGCAGAAACAGCAGAGGAATGTGGAGTTCAACACACAGCTGCAATGGTAGAACTGCCCAAAAAAACTGTCATGGTATCACTCTACTTCACCTAAGTACACAGTGCATCCTGTACCACCCAAACAGTCACACTAACTTGTAGTTATTTTTGCTTGTGAAAATATTTTTTGAACAACCATCAAGTTAAAAAAAAAACAAACCAAACAACAAATTAATTTGTAAGAAATATAATTCGCCTAGACCTGGGTTTTTTTGTTTAAATAAGTGAGTTCCTGTAATTCAGTATTTGTATACGTGATTGTGAAGGCAGCTTCCCACACACCTCTGTCACTGAAAAGACTACGAACAGGATAAATAATACAGTCAACTTGATTTTTATAATTCACACACTTGATAAGCGAGATTTAAAGTGGTCTTACAGCACCTGAAGTGGTACCAATCCAGTCACAGGTCTCTTGTGAGACCTTAAGTAAGTATCATTCCTCAGTACCTTATCTGCAAGCTGGAGAGAATGCTCACAAACCAAGTGCAGGTGTAGCCTGAAGAAGGGAAGGAACAGAAGGTCCCACATAACAGCACTGGGAGCAGGGGCACATTTAACTAATGGTGCTACCTGGAACCCCTGCAGACTTCTTCAAGCCCAGTAGATCTGCGCCAGAACATTTCCTAACTCACACACATGCTTGTTAATGTTTCTGAGGTAGCTGGATGTTCCAGGGTTGCATAAGCCACAGAAATATTGAAAAAGAGATCACATTTATTATTGAGTTGATATAAAATTTGTTAGCAAAACAAATTCCAAGCTATGTATATACCGTCTCTCAGAGTGCTGATTTCTGCTACAGAATTAGTCAGCCTGAGTCACCTGGAAGCCCAATGTGGATCCCCTGTGGCCTTAAGATGTACTTGACAGCTTTTATGCTTTTTCAGCTCAAAGTAACAGCTCTGATAAGAGGCTGCCAGAGCTTGCCCAAGCAGTGGTCTTTTAGCCTGATGCTATGTGCAGCCTGCCCTGCTGGCCACTTAAAAGAAAAGCATGAGGCAGTGTGAAGCACAGTCCTTAGCAGAGTGAATGTTGGCACGCCCTATGTCCATACTGACTACCCCAAATGGGCTCAGAGGAACTATTCTGCCAGCTGTGCCCAGGTTTCCCCATAAGTGAACAGCACGTGCGAACAAATTAGCGTTTTTGTGATGTGGATGATCTGGGTCCTGGACTGAAAACAGATCGGCAGGAAAGGCAGTCATGCCATGTGTCAGTCCCAGCCTAAAGACTAAAGACAAAACTTGCCAGAGATGCCTGAACAAATTATTTGACATGTTTTCTGATCAAGATTATGAAAACTATGCGAGATCTTCAGCCCCAAACCAGAGCAAGGGTAAAAGCTGGGACTGTTCATTGGACCTCATGCCACAAAACGGTTCTCACCCTAAACAAGTGGCTCTTTTGTGCCTTACACAGATCCAGGAAACATCTTAACAGGAAGGCGCCTCTGTTTCTCAGTTATCCCAACAACATCACATAGACATATACCTTTATTCCATCTTCCAAACTGAATTATCCCCTTTTAGCCTTTCCTGCTGCCGCAGTCCCTGACACACTGGCTACGCTCACATCAGCTCCTTTCTTCTCTCCATCAACAGTTATCACAGCACACACTTGTATTAGCTTAAGTAAACAGGGTGGATCCTGCTTACCAGTGACAGCTGCCATGCTCAGAAGGACTTCAGGGGAGGAAGTAATTAGTTTTTGCCAAGACTGGAAATATTCCTATAGCTACATACAGGTTTCACTATGTGATTACAAGTGATATACATAACACTGTCAAGGTAAATATGCACCATACCTGGCAAAGAACTGGTACCAAAAATGGTTAAGCAGTCGAGAAGAACAGACAAATTAATCCGAAATGTCACCGATTCCTCCTGAACAGCAAAGTCCTGAAAAATTTCTGCCTGTAAGAGAAAAGAAAGAGATGAAGAGAGGGGAGTTTCTGCAATTATTTTACAGTTTACACTTATTTCCTCAAATTCAGTGCTTTCACTTTCAGAGATCAGTGGAATACAAAGGGATTTCTACATATAACACAATACTGATGAAGGAAAAAAGGGTCTTCACCCCCAGAAACCAGTAAAATAAAATCAAGTCACAGTTGAAACAAAGTAGCATTGCATAAGCATGAAAACATAAACACTTGCCTCTTATAGTTCAAAAACAAGCCACAAATGTTAAAGCCTGACGCTGCCTACTTCTGGAGCTGGACACAATCAGGGAACTATACAGTATAAGTGTCACCCTCCTCCAGAAACAATACTTACTTACTTTTCTTCACTTAGAGAACGAATAAACATTTCAAATAATAAAAATATGTAAGAAGAGAACAGAATAGCATATTCACCACACTGAAATGTGCTGAAACATGCCTTTGACTAGTCTGATGTGGGGAAACTCTCCAGGCTATCCCGTTTGCCACTGGGCACTAGCTGCTTACTGCAGATGAGTGTTTGTGAATTACTACCCTCTTTCAGTTGGATTAAACCCACCTTTTTCGCTTTGGGATGAAGCATAACAGAAATACCTAAAGACAGACAGTTTATAAACTTGGTCGTGCATCTAAGAACGGCATGGTCAGAAGGAGCAGTGGGCTTAGTAGGTGCCAACACATTAAACAAGGGTGCAAGCTCATCACACCAGCAGCCATGCATGAACAAACCAGGCACTGAGCTCAGCCTTTGAACAGCACAGACATCTCATAAATGGCCACAGCCTCATCACAGCACATCCTTCACGTCAGCTCCCCCAGCTAAGCCGTGATTTCACCCAAGCTTCCCCTTCTCCGTGGGGAAACTTGCTGCACATCTCCTCTACCAGGTAACCGGGTCCTCTCTAAGGTCCCTAAC